GCTGACCTCTCTGCCTTGAACTGAACTGACCAGAAAGTTCTCCTTGGAAGTCATTGCTCTGAGTGGACCCTTCTTTTCAATGAGAAGATGACAAGTATGTTGCTGAGACAACTGTGTAGCCATCCACTGATAGATGTAACATGTTTAAACACGTTGTTTGTAATAAACCTGTGTGTGTAAGAATTGGAGTCCTACAAGAAATATTTTTTCATAGACTTGAATGTCACTTCGTTCTTACAGAATTATAAAAATGAAACTTTATTCAAAAATAAGTACTTAGAAGAGCCAGGCAACAGTTCTTTTGTCACTGGGGTAGCAAATTCTACTTAAAGCTGTCTGGATGTAAACTGATTCTTCCTTACTTAATTTTGCATTACTGTGAAGAATAAACTGAGTAAACAAGTCTGAATCTTTTAGCCAGCATTTTAGTTATGCTTGAGGCCCATCTGGAAGAGAATACAATTCAGCCATCGGTTTATTTCATATCAAAGGCACAGAAATTCTCTTTAATCAATAGTCCAGAACACCAGAACCTTAAGGATTTATCAGTGAACCCATCAGCGAATTAGAAACTAGCCCTTCGCCAAAGGACAATGCAACTCGTGTAATATTTGAAGAGAAAAAAAAAATGATTTCAAAGACACATCAGTAGTCTATCTCTAGGTTACTGGTATAGTACTGTAGGATAAGTACTGGACTGTGAACCACAACATCAGTGGTTCAAATCCATCAGTCACTCCTCAAAAACAATATGTTGTTGTTAAGTGTGGAGGAACTGCTGGTGGGTTTGAACCGCTGACCTTTCAGTTTAGCTGATCTTACAGTTCAGTGTTCATTCTACAGCACCACACCAGGACTCCAGGAAATCCTGTACAGGGTCACTATGAGTCAGAACTGATTCAACGACACTTAATAAAAATAAAGTTACTATTGCTTAGATTTTTCAGTAAGCAATACAATAAGCGCTACTATTACTTAGATTTTTCAGTAAGCAATAAATCTGCATAATATTAACTTAATATACCACAGAAGTGCTTTAATGAAAATATAATTTCATATATATATATATGCAGGTTTTAGAGAAGTACAATTGAAAAAGCATGTGTAAGAAGAATATTACTATAACTTTTGCAAAATAACTGTTAAAAATGTGTTCTGTTAATGCCCCAAAACTCATTGCTGAAAAAAACCCATGGTGCTCTTAAAGATGACGTTATTTTACTTCAAAATGTATTATTTCTTTATTAGTAGTAGCGGTAGCATTTGCTTTGGCTTATGAAAAGCTCAAAACTAAACAGAGCACTCAACTGCAGTATTTAGATTGTCACTAGTAAAACATTTCTTCCCTTTTAATTAATTTGACTTCTTTTTTAAGTTTTGCCGTCTTTAATGGTTTTCATACTGAAGTAGCTCAAATCTAAGATGTTGTGTTGTTGTTATGTGCTGTTGAGTCAGTTCTGACTCACAGTGACCCTGTAAATCTTAAAGCTGTAAATCTCTATAGGAGCAAAAAGCCTCATCTTTGACCGGAGATTTGAATCACCTACCCAGGGGAGCCCTGGTGTGGTGCTGTGGGTTAACGCATCAGCAGGCAAAGTCGTTTGAACTGCAAGGTTGGTGGTTCAAGCTCACCAGTGGCTCCTCGGAAACCCTATACAGGGTCGCTATGGGTCGGAACTGACTCAGCGGCACTTAACAACAACCCAGAGAACAACAGCATCCCGAGGTTAAAAACCAAATGGATAAGCCATTATGTCACCAAGGCTCCCAAGATTTGTTGTTGTTAAGTGCCATCAAGCAGAATGATTATAATTAGTTAAACAGTCAATTCAATTATTAAATAAAGGGTAGTGGTAGTGATGTGCCAAGGGTGGGTTCCAACTCCAGTGACCCTGTCTAGGTTTCCGAGACTGTGTCTCTTTATGAGAGCAGAAAGCCTCATCTTTCTCCAGCGAGACGGCTGGTAGTTTCAAACTGCTGACCAGGTTAGCAGCCTGACTCGTAACCTCTATGCTACCAGAGAAAAAACATATATATATTTAGATAAAACCGGGAAGTAAACTATCAAGTCAAATCAGGCAAGTTTTACCAGGATCATACTGATAAAACTTTTATGTATGAAAGAAGAAAAAATGTGCCAATACTGAGAGTATTTCCGTTCCTACTCCTTCTTTCTCATGTTTCTTGAGTCTTACTTTATATGGAAAATTTCCATATAATGCCATTTTTCTTAATATCTACTTTTCTTTTCTTATCAGTGTCTATTGTTGAATAGTTTTTAAATGGTAAATTTAAGTAAAAACTACAGCAAATATTCATAAATCAATCATAAGAAGGTAATTCAAATATCACATTTTATATTATTCCCAAACTTCTTTAATATAATTTGTTGAAACTGTTTTTCAGTTTGAATTTGTTGAATTGTTGAAACTTCTCAATAACCTTTCAGTTTCACTGTAACCTACATGAAAAATCGCACAGTTAAAATATAGCTAAATGATGTCAAATAACTAGACTTTTTAATGAAAAAATCTGGTAAGAGAAATTAAAGATTCAACTGTCTCCTCAAACTTTTTAGTGATTGTACTGGTGTCATACTGCCAAGCTCAGAGAAGAGTATGTTCATAGGTCCTTGTACAAGATAACTTAGTTATTGCAATTAGTAATAGTTGATGCTGCTTATTCAAAGAGCATGGATTTTACGATACCAGTTCAAAAATTAGGCCTAAATAATAAACTATCGTCCCAAATCACTTAGCGATCAATAAAACAACTGGTTCTGAAGTGAAAAATTCCTAATCTTGTCTATTGGATTATTACACTTAAGAATATTTGGAAATCCCCAACAAGTTTAAACCCCTGCCTTGTATTAGGATAGCCATATTGTTGGTTCATATCCATTATGGGATTGCCCTAAGGCTTCAAACAAATTCAAACTGCTTCAGTCATGGTCAATGCAAGAAAATCAGAACTGAGCCAATTTTGTAAAACGTGAGTCTCCTAGAACAATAACCCGAAAGGGAAAATGATGAGGCAAGTCCCTGGAATGGAAGACTTAGAAGACGTTCAGTGAGCCCTTTCAGGATCCCGGAGTCGGAGACTAGATTATTCTAACCCACATTCATAGTGACACAACTGGCTGCTATCTTTGAGGTGGGCACTGTATTTTCCGACTCTGCCAATCAAGAGAAATGGTTGCTAAGCAACACGGCACTACCCTTGTTTTCTAGGAGAAAATTTTTTCCCACAATTTTTCCTTTTCCAGGATTCTTTCCAGTATTCCCACATTTTACTAATTTGGGTTCATTTTAATTTTGCTTTCTGTCTGTGACTGAACTGGGAAGAACCAATTGGAAGCCTTATTTTGCTGTCAGTGAACTTGTCTGCCGAACTCAAGGGCATGGGGATTTGTTCTCTCAAATGAAGCTTCATATTTCACCTGATTTCTTCTTAGCCAGACCGAAAACTGTCTTCTAACTACCGAGTTTCCACAACTAGCCAGTCTCAGATTCTTTTTTGAATAAGAAGCTTTTCAAATACTACAAAATTGAACACCATTTACCAGATTAAATTTGCTTTCAGATCTCTATCTGAGATGTTGTTGTTGTTAAGTACCATCGAGTTGGTTGCGACCCCGTATAGGGTTTCCGAGGAGCAACTGGTGAATTTGAACCACCGACCTTGCAGTTCAAACGGCTTTGCAGTCTGGCGCATTAACCCACAGTGCCACACCAGATAACTGGTGTTAAAACATAAAAGTACCAAAATATTCTTGTAGCCACTATTAAAACAATCCCATCATGTGAAGGAGTTTCAATAAGTTCATGGAAAGATACTGGAATTTTCCCACAAACTTTTGAAGCCACCTATATTATTACGACATTCATTACATGCTATTGACCATTATATCCATCAGATTAGCACGACAGATGAATAAGTCTCTGTATAAATTCAAATTTAGAAATACACAAAGTACCATGAACTGTTGTAAGAGCAATATATTCCACCAAATATAATACTGAGTTAAAATATTATCATTTGTTTCTCATGATATCCTAAATTTATTGCCATCAAATATTTAATTTTTCACGGAGGGTAACACAGAATAAATTACACTTACAAAGTGAAATTTATTATTATTTTTTAAACTAAAGGCATTTTGAGTATTGTATTTTGGGGATGTTTAGGATTGATTTTTCAACTCACTTGGTAATTGTTAAGTGCCATCGAGTCAGTTCTGACTCACAGAGACCCTGTAAAGGGTTTCCGAGGCTTTAGAGCTTCGAGGGAGCAGAAAGCGTCATCTTTCTCCCTCAAAGCAGCGAGAAAGCTCAAATCACAGACCTTGAGTTTCAAAGTCCAGTGTTTATTGTTTGAAGCCACATGCTCCTTTCCCACTCTACAGCCTCATGCAAATAAAATGTCCATTTACAGGGTCTTTATCAAAGTAAAAAATTGTATCATTCTAGAACAAAATGTATTCTCATTAGCAAAATTTTCAAGCTCTTTAAAATATTAACAGATAATTCATTTAGCTCCTTGCTGCCGTAGAATCATGGTGCATATCCTCCAATCACTAACTGAAAAACTGCAGACTTCTTTCAATACCACCAAAGAATCCCATTTTTCTTACCAATTTTCAAGCAAAACAAGACTGGTATATTAATGGGATTCAAGAAGGAGGCAAGAAAGCTGCACTGGACATTCCCTAGTCAAAAATATTCTAATGGGTTGAATCCTTTTATTCCAGCACAGTATGCAGCACCAAGTTAGCATGGGAAATGAATTTTAAATAATGAACCATTTAATCATAAGAAGAAGAAACTTGTGTTAACAAGAGGTCATGAAGAGATCAACTGCACTGGAGCTACAAACTTAGAGGAAGATTTTCAAGACTTTTTTGTTACTAACAAATCCAAGATGTTGGGTCTAACAAAGGTAAATGCCACAAGAAACTGAAACTCAGACCCAGACAAATACACACACATATATAGTTTTACCTTGCTGCGTTGGGATCCTGTGACCTTAAGGAAGGATGAGGACAAGAAGCAAAATAGCAATAAACAATTTCTCCGAAGACAACCGAGAGCATAAACGGTGTGCACTTGAGAAAACAGTATTATTTGCCACCCACACTCATTTCAATTTGCTACCCCTTTTTTTTCCACTAAGGATGATTTGAGAACAGAATACAGAGACATTAAAAAGCATTATAGTGTCACCTGGGAAATGAACCACTTATGGCATGTTGCTCAGCCAGCAGTAATCATGGGCTCAACTCAAATCACTGTTTTGTTTCAAAGTTTTTACACATTGACTTTAATGCTTTATAAACACTCATATTAAATAACTACTGTAAGAAGTACTATTCTAAATACATCTCTTATCTATGTCTTCTCATGGGCCCTTTACTATTAAATATTCACTGACATCACTCCCCCAGACATCTAGTGCAATGTTCTGACATAGAAATCAATTAAAAAAAAAAAAAAAAGACAACAAGAATCTAGTCTCCTTCCAATTAATTTCTTTTTGAAAATTCCAAAAAACAAACAAACAAAAAGAAAGAAAATCCCAAAAGGATACAACAAAAAAGGAGCCAATAATTGTGAGTGAATATCAACTAGTTTTTCTCCAAAATAAAATAGAGTAGAAGCAAAGGGGAGAATATTTACTTTCCCCCTGGTTAATTAACATTGAGTAGCATTTCAAATGATAAAGAATACTGAAAAGCTGAGACTCTTTCAGGAAGTAATAATAAACTAGAACACAGTCCGAGGGACAGATGCACTCCTACCTCAAGCAAGCAGATGGCATTGTGTGCATATGTGCAAGGAATGAGTGACCTAATTGGGCAGAAATCAAAATGGGCCAAATCATTAAAAGTGCTTCAATTCAGAAAAATACCAAACCAAGTATTTCATTTAAAACCAATATTGTGTTGCTCTTCAATAAACATTTTCCTCTAATTTCTTTTGGGAATTCCAGACCACAACCGTGAGATGAGGAAAATTTGAAGCAATCTCATCTCTGAGGGTTCTCAGGAACACTCATTCTGAACATATGGGTTTTAATTTATTATTTCACTTATTCTATTCCTGGATTTTAACTGCAGCAAATGTTAGGACTCAAGATTTGTCCTTCCAGCTTCTGACATGCAGTTCCTTGACAATAAGCTGCAATAAAGCCATGAAGCAGGAAACATAAATGTCAGTTATAAGCTATGAAATAATGGTTCAAAATACACAGAAAGATAAATCTAGAAAAATCCATCTTACTTCAAAACTCTTCACTTCTTCTTCACCATCATCATCTTCCTCATCATGACAACTCTGGTAAAAAAAGTCATCAGAAAGAGGATGAGGCAGAAAGCACAGAATTTAACAAGGAACAGTAATAATAGTAATTATTAGCATTTGTTTTGATTCTTAGCATTAACGCTGTTTTAACATATATGACATATGAAATACAATAAGCTTGGCTAAAATGAGAAAAGAATGAGTGACCAAAATTTATATATATATATGTTGTTGTTATGTGGCGTGGAGTCAGTTCTGACCCATAGCGACCCTGCACAAGGTTTTACAGGAGCAGAAAGCCTCATCTTTCTCCCACGGAACAGCTGGTAGCTTCCAACAGCTGACCTTGAGGTTAGCAGCCCAATTTGTAACCACTACACTATCAGAGCTCCTTATATATATTGTTGTTGTTGTTGTTAAGTGCCGTCGAGTCGGTTCCGACCCATAGCGACCCTGTATAGGGTTTCCCAGGGGCAGCTGGTAGGCTCGAACCTCCAACCTTGCAACTCAAATGGCTTTGCAGTCTGGCACATTAACCCACAGCACCACACCAGGACTCCCCCATACACACACACACACACACACACACACACACAGTGTTGTTGTTAAGTGCCACCGAGTCGATTCCAACTTATGAAAACCCTGTATAGGGTTTCCAAGGAGCATCTGGTGGATTTGAACTGCTGATTTTGTGGTTCATGGTCCAGTGCTGATCCTACAGCACCAAACCAGGAGTTTACATACATAATTTAGTGCTTTTACAGAATAAAATATAGTGTAGTGGTTACACATCAGACTGCTAACCTCAAGGTTGGCAGTTGGAAGCTACCAGCTGTTTCCGGGAGAAAGATGAGGCTTTCTGCTCTGGTAAAGATTTACAGCCTTGGAAACCCTATGCAGGGTCTCTATGAGTCAGAACGGACTCCACAGCACATAACAACAACAACATATAATTTAGTGCTTTTACAAAATACAATATGAAATTCTCTTTTTTAATTCCTAACAGATATTTGTCAGGTTAATATTGCATTTAATCACACATTTGCCCTGATAACTAAGCTGTAATCCTTAAAGACAAAAATCATTGTTTCCTCTATTTTACCCAGCCATTAACAATGCACTAATACAGGTATATGCAATAACCATTAATTAATATTAATAGGAAGAAATGATAATTAATTTAAAATGAATCTTGAATCTTTTTTGAGAATCTCATTGTTCATTATAATGGAGAACAGTGAAATTCAAATGGCTGAAGAAAATATGATAACACTGCTATTCAATGATTTGGGAATTCATTTTCCAAAAATGATAAAGGGGTTGTGCTAACCATGGATTTACTCTGATCTAATTCCCACAGCTGTGCTCTCTGAGTGGCAATGCGCCAGTGTAGCATAAAAGTTAAGAACACCGGCTTTTGTAGTGCAGCAGTGCTAGCGGCTTCCTCCTTCGTCTGACTTGGCAGCCAGCCCCCGTGCTGAGCCACAAGGAATCGCCTCCTGGTGAGCCAAGTAGCATCAGGAAACAGTCATCACTTCGCGAACATTCACCGCTGGGGAAAAATGGTTGAAGCCGACTGCCCTGGAAAGCTCTTCATTGGAAGGCTCAATGCAGAAACCAACGAGAAAGCCCTGGAGGCAGTATTTGGCAAATATGGACGGATTGTGGAAGTACTCTTTATGAAAGACTGTGAAACCAACAAATCGAGAGGATTTGCTTTTGTAACCTTTGAAAGCCCAGCAGATGCCAAAGATAAGCCAGAGATATGAAGGGAAAGTCTTTGGATGGGAAAGATACCAAGGTGGAACAAGCCACTAAACCAACATTTGAAACTGCAGCCTTATGTATGGACTCCCACCACCTCCAAGAAGCAGAGGCCCACCAAGAGGCCTTAGAGGTGGAAGAGGAGGCAATGGAGGAACCAGGTGACCCCCTTCATGTGGGGGACATATGGATGATGGTGGCTATTCCATGAATTTTAACATGAGTTCTTCCAGGGGCTCACCTTCCAGTAAAAAGAGGATCACCACCACGGAGTGGTAGGCCCCCTCCTAAAAGATCAGCTCCTTCAGGACCAGGTCATAGTAGCAATGGAATGGGAGGCAAAACTCTTGTATCATGTGGAAAAGACAGTTATGGAGGACCACCAAGAAGGGAACCCCTGCCCTCTTCAAGCAGCTGAAGTGATCTTTACTCAAGTGGTCATGATTAGGCATGCAGACAAGAAAGAGGGCTTCCACCTTCTATGGAAAGGGGGTACCCTCCTCCACAGGATTCCTACAGCAGTTCAAGCCGCGGAGCACCAAGAGGTGGTGGCTGTGGAGGAAGCTGATCTGATAGAGGAGGAGGCAGAACCAAAACTTTGGACCAAAATCTCTGCTCAAAGAAACAAACAAAAAGTGGAACCTGTTACTAATAAAGAACAAAGAGCACAGCCTTATGTATGGATTACAACTCAATGTAAAGAAAACAAAAATCCTCACCACTGCACCAATAAACA